GGGTCCAGAGTGGGGGGGGGCACATGACTTTCTCCATCACTGGGAGAGACTGGCTCTCAGAAGCCAAGCCGAGACGCACAGGCCGGGAGTCAGGCTAGTGTGTAGGTTTTCCAGGGTCCTGTCCCCAACTGAGCGTGCCCGTGGGAACAGGGCCCTCCAGCTTCCGCAAAGGCTTCCACATCACGGGACTGGGGGGCTGGGAGCCATTCTGGGAGGTCCCTGAAGGGAGAGAGGCAGGGTGTTCTCCTGGGTGCCGGACTTGCGGGCCTTGGACACATAGTGCAGGGTCCTGGAAGGGAGCCCTTCCCGCCTGCGTTTCCTCATCCGGACACGTGGGCTGCTCAGAGCCGTGGCCAGGGGTGCGAGGAAGCCGTGTGGGCAGAGAGGCGCTTCGGGTATCTGGGAACTGGGGACTCAGAACCACTTTCTGGGTGCCTGGAGGGCACCAGTACAGTCGTGCTCCAGGCCTGGGAGAATTGGGGCGCCCAATGAGGCGCTCAGGCGCCTAGGGCGGTTATGTCAGTGGGCGCTTCTTGCATCCGGGTTCTCGGGACTTCGAAGCCCTTCTGGGAGGTTCGCAAGAGGAGGGGGACAGTCAGGCTTGCCGTGCCACACCGGACTGCTTTGGGGACTCAAGGCATGATTGTGGTGCCTGGGAGTCGGTCTCACCGCTCTTCCGCTTATGGGACCTGGGGAGCTAGGAGCCAGTGGCAGACCTGGCAGGATTATGACAGGCTCCCCACGTTTTCTGAATACAGGTGACTGATTCTGGGATGTCAAGGGCCCTTTCATAATGGAAAGTTTTCCCATACTCCAGGGTTGACACCTGGCTTACTGTCTCACCTTCCACTTGGCCTGAACCTCTTGCTAGGAGCTGCTTTAAGAGCATCCCAGACAGGCGTCTGCCAGCTCTAGGGTGAGGGCCAGTCACAAACTCCAGAGAGAGGGTGTGTCCCACAGTGTGTCCACTGTATCCCTGCAGAGGGCCCTGCACCACGTGGGCGCCCGCTTGCAGTATTCAGTGCTTAACCATGTCAGTCAGTGTCACAAAGACAGAGAGCAATGTTCTTCTTTTCTTTAGTTTTGATTTTTTGAGACAGGGTTTCTCTGTGTAAAGGTTGGCTGCCCTGGAACTGGCTCTGTAGAACAGGCTGGCTGCGAACTCGCTCAGATCCACCTGCCTCTGCTGCGGTAGTGCTGGCATTAAAGGCCTGTGCCGCCACCCACCCCTCTGCTCAAGGATCACATTTTTAAGGGGTCCACTTATACCACACAGTGGCTTTGCATTCAGCAAGTACGTGGGAACCAAGTGGACTTAAGAAGCACCACTCCATCTGGGGGCTTCCCGAATGGTATTGCTGCTGTGGTGCACTTGGAGGAACTCACCTGCTTCCCCTCCTTCACCTCGTATGGACTGTGCCTTTGCTTCAGACTGTATGATGGGAAGGAGGCGGGGGACTCGTCCTGGGGGTAAGGTCTCCCTCAGATTTGTAGTGGTAGGGATCCAGGGCCACCAAGGAGGAAACAGTGTGATCTCTGGTCCAAGACATACACAAGCAGTCTTTGCTGTCAGCGTCGACTAGTTACGGGTGCAGACTGTGGACTCTGACTCACACGGTCACCTCAGACTTAGACTGACTGGGGTGATAAGGTGGGGGCTCAGACTTGGCTTGGACCTGAAAGTTGGATCTGAGAGTCAGGAGGGGTGTCGTGAGGAAGGAAGAGGAAGGAAGGCTTCAGAATGTGTGAGAAAATGCAGGGCTCTGCCCCTTTTGCCAGTCTCGAGAAACCCGGGCCCTGGCGACCCAGAGGTGATACACGTTCACTTCTGTCTCCTCTCTCAGGAAGGTGAGCCTTGCACCGTGGGGGTACCACCACAGCCCAGAGGGGAGCACAAGTGCTTGCTGGAGGAGGAGCCCATTTTCCATCGTGAATCCTGGTAAGCTGTCATGCTCACAACTGAACATGGGAAGAGGGCCCCGTTCCCCAACAGAAGACTGTACAAAGCGTGTATGCCCCTGTTCCTATGCCGGGGCCGGAGGGGGGGTGGGAGCTGCCGTGCCTGGCTTCCTTGGGCTGCATGACTTACTTGGCTTGAGACCTCTTCTGGGAGTGATGACCTTGTGCCTAGGGTTGATATCAGATCAGCAGTGGCAGCCAGGTCTGGAGAGCAGAGGGATTCTGCAGGGTGTGGACCTCCCCTGAGGACTGACTCTGAAGCAGAGAGCAAAAGGACTGCACAGACTGGGTATGACCCGGAGTCAGCGCTCCGGCTTTACTTAACTCCAGCCATACCCCCACCCATCCCAGCGCAAAAGGACTGCACAGACTGGGTATGACCCGGAGTCAGCGCTCCGGCTTTGCTTACTCCAGCCATACCCCCACCCACCCCAGCCCCAGGGAGGTAGTACAGAGGGTGTGTTTGTGGAGATGGGGCCTGCTTGGAAGAGCAGGTCTCAAGAAGGAAGGCAGAGGTGCACTCAGGGTGGTCTTAGGGAACTCCTATGTAAGCAGAGTGGAGCCCTGTTCCCCCATAGGGCTGGATGGGCTGTGTCACAACACTGACTCCTGGGACGTTACAGGGCCTGGCATGCGTGACTTCACTAGAGTGGGAGACCTTGTCTGAGCACGGCCCTTGCTTAAGTGAGCGCCTGGGAAGTTCCAGGAAAGAATCCCAGGGGGTTAGTGAAGGAGAATCCACTCCAGACCCCAGACGGCAGCCCCACAAGAGACTTCCCTGAAGCAGTGTCTGTCTCACAACAGCCCCGGACAGGGCTGCGAGGCTGAGCCCCTGCTCTGGTTCCAGTCAGTGCTCTAAGGGAGCTGAAGGACCTACCTCAACCTGGGTCATCAGAGGAAGGCTTGGGTCTGTGAGGGCTCCTGGTGAGAGGTGAGAGTCCCATCAGCCACAGGCAGAGTGCTGGCTACCTACCTGCCTGTCTGGGGGCTGTGGGAAAAGAGAGGCACTTTGAGTGGATTCCTTCCCCTCTCCTACTCTTCCTTTCTTTCTCACAGCAGTAGTCTCTTCCCTTAAAGACCTTGGACCCGGAGATCCCAGGGAAGCTCCTCAACTAGCCATTCATCAAGGTGAGAATCGGGCCCCTGTCCTGTGCTCGCCCAAATGAACCACACTGAATTGAGGTAGCTCTTTCAGTCCCCCTTCTCCCACTCCCACCTCCAGTCAGGTGTCAGGAGGTGTGAGGTGACCTCACTGCCTTCCTGTTCTGAGGCTTGCCCTCAGGCAAGAAGAGGCATACACTCTGGGAGCAGGGTCTCTTCTTCTTTGAGCCTCTCAGAGGAACGTGCACTACCAGAGTCCTTTAACCTTGGAGCCCCCCTCCCCCCGCCCAAATCCTCCCACAGGCGCTTTTTGAGAGCCACCTGAGGAATGGCTGTCAGAGTCTACTCACCCTCTCCCTTTCTGCCCCAGGCCTGTGAGTCTTCATCTCTGTGACCTGCACTGTGTCCTGCCTGTGTTCCCAAGGAATCTCAGCATGGATCCTACTGAGAACAGCCAGACCTTCAACGTCCCTGACAACACTCGGTCCCAAAGGCCTGCAAGGGGCCTGCAGGATGCCCAGGTCCCCATAGCTGAGGTGGAGGAGGCTGAGGCCACTGCACCCACCTCAGGGTACATGTCTATTGGAAGAATGCTCAGTTTTCCCCAAAGTGCTGAGGCAGCCTCTTCTCCTCCTGCTGCCCTGGGCTCCATTGCAGGGGGACCATCTGCTGAGGCCTCTAGAAACCGATTAAGGAGAATGGCCAACCCATTGTTCATCCCACAGGATATGCTAAGTAGAAAAGTAGTTAGTTTGGTGAGGTTCCTGCTCCTCAAGTACCGAATGAACCTTCGGGCAACTAAGGCAGAAATGCTGGATAGAATCTCTCGTGACTATGAGATGTTCTTCCATGTGATCTCTACGAAGGCCACTGATTGCATGTGGCTATTATTTGGCATTGAAGTTAGGCAAGTGGACCCTCTTGGCCACTCCTATTCTCTTGTCACTGCCCTGGGGATCACCTATGATGGGCTGCAGCATGGTGCCGTGGGCATACCAAAAACAGGCTTGGTAATAATTATGTTGTGTATCATCTTCATAGGGGACAATTGTGTCAGCGAGGAGGCCTTGTGGCGTCTGTTGAATGTCATGGGGCTGTATGCTGGGAGGGATCATTTCATATACGGGGAGCCCAGGAGACTCATCACTGAGCATTTTGTGCAGGAAAGATACCTGGAGTGCAGACAGGTGCCAGGCAGCGATCCTCCTAGCCATGAGTTCCTATGGGGCCCCAGGGCCCATGCGGAAACCACCAAGATGAAAATCTTGAGGTTTTTTGCCAGCATAATTAGGCGGGATCCCAGATCCTACCCCTACAGTTATGCAGATGCTTTGAGAGATGAGCTGCAGAGGACCTAGACCTGAATCGCCCAGCAGATGATACTACTGTCCTGAGCAGCACCCATTCTAGCGCACTGGCAGTTTCCAGGTCAGGTAGTCAGACATTTAAGGACTTGTACCCTCAGTGGAGTGCTGGTGGAATGACAGCATGAACCGTTTCATTCTTCCTGTTCTCACTGGGTGACTTGGGCTTTCTTGTTATTTCAAAATGTTGCTACTGTTACTACAAGGTTCCCTATTGGAGATGTTTTAAATTTAAGAATGGAAATGTTAAAGCATATATGTTTATGCAAATTAAGAGTATTTAATATTTTCTACCAGAAGCTATAGTGTCCTCCTCTGTCTAACTTGTAGTATGTCACTGGATACAATGGCCTTAATAATTTAGTTTCCTGGAACATTGCAAGTTGTACATTAGCGTGAAGAACAGAATAAAATTATTTTTGAGTGCCTCATCTGGTTCATTCATCTGTTTAACTAATTAAAATGAAAAGTAAAGTAAGCTAATTGCCATTGTCTCCCCCAAACTCAAGTGAGCATGTGCTCTGTTACAGGCTCTGTGCAGGTGGTACCTCGCAAAAACCGCACAGGAAAGTGTAAATGCAGAAGAAAGGGAGCTGCTAGGAAGCCTTAGAATCTCTTTAAGCTAGAAGGGCGAAGCAGGGGGCTGGCATGGGGAGGGCTGCAGTGTGTGCAGTGTGGTCTCCAAGCAAGAGCAGCCAAGTGTCAGTGCTGCAACCAAGGCAGCTGTGAGTTTGGGAAGAGTAGCTGGTACCAGAACCCTGGGAGGTGTGATTAGCTTAATGCAGCAAGAAGGGACAAGGGCTATGAGCAGTCCCTGTTGTTTTGGGATTTGGCAGAGAGAGGGAGGGTAGGAATCAGGCTGAAGAAGTCCTTCAGGGATGAAACATTTGCATACCATGTGCATCTCCTGGATTGTAACAAAGTAACAAAAAACAAAACAGGCAGTAACAGTGTCCTTGAGCTGGGACTGGAGTTACAGCTCCACACCCCACGTGCATTGTATGTCTTGCCCCCTCCCTGTGGAAGAGATAGCTGACTCATGGTGTAATTATGTGAAAGTAGGGCTTAGAAGAAATCTGTCTTGAGAGAGAGAGGGGGGTGGGAGGGAGAGAGGGGGGGAGGAGGGGACTATCAGGATGACTTTGACTTTACAGGCCTTTGAGGAGGCAGAGATGGGCTGGTCTATGAGTTCCAGTCCATCCTCTTCTACAGTGCTGATCCTCGGACAGCTCTGAGGCTACTCAGAGAACCCTGTCTCAGAAAAAAGAAAAACAAGAAAAATAAAGCACAAAGGGGGAAAAACGGTTAACTTTGAATGTAACTTGGACAACTGTTTTGTCTGCACATTGGCAAGTGCACTACATCTGACCATGGTTTCCCGAGGGTGCAGAAGAAGGCACAGGATTTCATGGAAATAAGAGTTAGAGATGGTTGTGACCATCCATGTGAGTGCTGGAAACTAAACCCTGGTCCTCTGCAAGAGCTTACAGTAAGGGCTCTTAATCACTGCACAAATTCTCTAGCCCCAGATACATTTACATTTCAAAAGTCATTTTGTGTGTACATGGAGTGGGCAGCTATATGTATGTATACATGCCCTGGTGTATATGTGGATGGAAGAGAACAGCTTTGAAGGTGGTTGTCACCTTCCTCTTCCTGAGGCAGATTGCTGCTCTTTTTGATGCTGCTCTCTATACTCCAGGCTGGCTGGCTGGAGGGATTCCGGTTTATTGTCCTGTCTGCCCGCCGAAGGCCTCACCAAAGGTGTGCATGGGTTACAGATGCAAACTGATGATTTCCATTATGTATGCAAGTTCCAGGGAGCAAAATCGGACACAGAGGCTTCAGCGCCTAGCGTTTTCATGCTCTGATCCATCTCCCTGTTCCCAAGATAACCTTTTAGTTTGATAATCTCTATTGTAATTTGGGGGACTCTAATAATGTCTTGGGAATTTGGTGAATGATGGTGTGTAGGGGTTTGGCTGCAAAGGTGGCTAGATGGTAGACTGGGTTGGAACTGCTCTTTGACTCATGCTCAGCATGTTCCTGTGAGAGAAACGCCCAGATTTCAACACGTGTCTAACAAGGGACAGGATTTAGTGATGTTTGTTCATGAGATTTGATTTTGTCTCATTACCTATCTCATTCCCAACTTTTCACTATAGTTCTACTCACTCAGGGCATTTGCAATAGGGCCTTTACATGCAGCGCACATACACCAGCCATCCTGATGGACAGGCTTTATCACATCCATTTCACAGGTGATGAGCCCTGAGGCCCCCAACATAGGAAATCTCCCTGATTCCCACTGTTAGACCCCAGAAAACTCAAATATCCGGGGTCCCAGGCCACGTTCGCGGTCACCCCAATCACCAGGCAGATTTGAGAGCTTCCTGCAAACTGCACGAGGCTTTATTGTAATTTAATGAGCTAACACCATGTTAGCTCGGGTCTTTGATCCACCCACCAGCCATGGCGGATGGCTAGCAAAGACAGTTTGAAGCCGCGGCACACAGATCTTTATAGGGCAGCGTAAGAGGAGTGTCTAGGGGTACGTACAGGCTCACGATTGGTGTGCCTCCAGGCT